TATATGTTTCACCTTTCATCATGTTGTCCAAAAACTTTTCGATCGGACGTTATTTACCTTGAAGGAATTCACTAGTTGTTTTGAAATCAAAATAATCTTTAAATAAATGTAAAACATCAGGTGAACAAACTGCTAAATGATAATCCAATGGACAATATGATTTTTCAAATAAATCAAGTGATATTTTATATACTATATGATGAATGTTCAAAATCATGTATATCTAATTGACGATAAACAAGCGTCATTATAGAATTTTTATCTTTTTTATATTTTTTTTATGAATATGAAATAAATTATTTAATTTTTCATGATTATTTATTATATTTTCTTGTTTGAGATCTTTTCAACAATCACAAAGTGAAGGTGCTTCTTTACAAGGAATAAATGTAATTAATTTTAAATATGTTCGTAACCATTGACTATTCATTATAAAGGAACGCCTATCATATGAATATGATGTTGTTAATAAAATGATTTCTTATATACCTGATCGTAATAATATTTCTTTTTTGTAAATGTTAAATATATGAAATATAAGTACACATGTTAATTGTTCTTATGCATGATAATCAGAATTTATATTTGTTGGTTTAATCATATCTGAAAAAGAAGCAAACAAACTATATTTTTTAAATGTCTAGAAGAATGAATATTAATTCAATAAATTTAATGACGATAGATCTAAGTAGAATCTCATGAAATATTTTTCAAATGATATTATTCATCACTAATGTAACAATCAGACGTGTTCACAGGGCAGGGTGAGACCAGGTCGAAGTTTTTCATCTGGATGATACGAAGTCAAATTTTTTATTTACTGACCGAGTCTGATTAGAATTGGTATTCTAGGTTTAAAACGTCATCATACACTTGTTAAATTCTAAGTTTTACTTTAAACTTTAATAATTAATTTTACAACAAAACGTTTTAATCTGAAGAAGAACTTCTATTGCATGGCTTGATTTTTAATACTTTACATAAGTCTTTTCCTAAACAGAATCGTGAATGTATTTCTTCAGTGCACTCTGCCTTGACTGAGCAATTCAATTCGATATGATTTAGTAGACGAAAATAATAAGCAAATATTCTTGATCAACAGTAATAATGTTTTCCATTTTTCGTTGAGTAGAGTTTCTTTCTGACGATACATAATTTTAATGTCATGAGATAGCACTGATGGAATTAGAACTAATTTGAAAGCATAGTTCATTGTATAGAGAAGATTTTATTTATAGTCTAATTCTTTATCGTTTGATTTTCTAGTTATTGGAATAGTTGTTACTTTCATCATCTGAATTCAGAAGGAGCAAATATTTGATAGAAACCACGGTGAGAAAATAAGAAAAATGTGTAACGCACATGGCACAATATTGTCTGTTATGTTTCGTGTGTAACGATCACCGCTATTTTGACTGATGACCTAATATTTGTTTTTGCTGCGTTGATTATGATGAGCAATTATAGTTCAAATGAACAGAATCTATACTTATTTATGGAGTAAAGGAGCATATATTTTTCAGTGAATGAATAGATATTGGTTGCTTGCATTGATGACATGTAGAAAATAAAAGCGACCGTTTTTTAATATTATTTTGATTCGTTAACATCGTTATACTATCATTGAAAAACAAGTAACTCCATACAAAAAGAAAGAAAAAAAGACCATCGATCTGTTGTTTACGTAAAAGACATAACTTGCATTGTGAATGACCGTTTGTTGTGAGTTAGAAGAAAAAAAATGAGAAAAGTTGGAAATTAGTTTGTAAAATTTAGATTCGGAAAAGAATAGTTTCTCGCTGATTCTTGTTTAGTTAATAAGCGATAAGTCCAAATTTCGAAGGATATCTTTTCGAGAACTCGCTGTAAACAGCAAAAGACATACAAAAAATAGAAGAAAAGAAAAAGAATGCGCCTTGTATCCACATGGCGTACGATATGTCAATAAATAAGGCCTGAAGCTGATGTTATCCAAATCGAATAACTGATAACATTATTACTGTTCAGATACATTGAGCTTAGCTTATCAGTGGTCTTTTTCTCGATCAATATTTCAGAAGCGATATGCGTGTTGCAACTCTTGAGTAGCGGTTGTTCGTTTGAATTCATGTCAAAATCGACTGTTCTGCGAGCGATATATTTAGGTTTTTTCTTGAACAACAGTTCAGTGTTCAATTATTTTATCGTCTTTTAGTTGTATTCTACATTTGCGACTGAAACTATCTTATATATGATCTTTTACTAGTTTTCACGTGCTCGCTCTCTTCTGTTAATTTTTTATAATTTGTTTCCTCTTTTTTCCTTTTACTGGACAGTAATGAGACCAAGTATGACAAAGCATATAAAAAAAACAGAAAAATATTATTACTGTTGGTCCAAATATTTGCTTGTTATCTTTGAGTACTAGATCATGTCGAGTTGAAACGCACAAGTAGTCAGCTCTATTCCTGTTATATATTTATTTTCTGTGTCTATAAAAGCACACTCTAATTCAATTATAAGTTTATGTGAAACTACAAACACCATGAAATTAATAAAAAAGAATCATCTATCACCAAAACTAGATGTAACCTCATGAGTTTCCTTAATCTTCCAAGTTGGACGCCACTATGATTCCTTGCAATTAATGCGGGTGGGTGTGGGTGTGGGTGTGGGTGTGGGTGTGTGGGTGTG